GTCCTGGCCTCGCTGGGAAGCCCGGAACTCCTGCGCGACGGCGCCGACGACGAGAGCCTGACGCGGGCTGCCAAGTGCGCCCGCGAGGGGCAGGAGGCGCTGACCGGCGCGCTGGAGTGCATCTGCGCTGGCGGCAAGGGGGTCGAGCGAACCACGAGGCTGGAGGCAATCTTCATCGAGGGCCTCCAGACGTTTTCTCTGCTGGTCGACGAGTACCTGGAAGAGCCAGAGTCCGCCTCCAAGCACTGCCGCTTGTTGTCGCGCCTCTGGCGGGAGACCAAGTGCCCTTCGCGCAAGCAGCACCTCAACGCGGCCCGATTGTGCACCTCGTGGTCATTGGCGTTGTTGTGGTCGACCTTCAAGCGGGATTTTAACCCCACTGCTGTGTCGAGCGTCTCGTTCATTTTCTCCGAGTCGCTAAGTTGCATGTTTGAAAGAAATATCAACCGTATGCTCGGGGTCGCCATGGGGCTTGTGCTGGGCACCGTGCCCGCAGTAATGTTGACGCGAAGTGCCTTCTGCACTGATGACACTGGGATCGAGTTTGGTATGGTCCCGAAGACCACGATGTATATGGTGGTGATGTTCTTTTTGTGGACTGCTGCCATGTACGGGTACTTGGCAACAGGTGCAAAGTGGAGCTACGCTTACCTTCTTTGGGCTGCTCTCGGAGGCGTTCAAATGATCAAATACTTCCCCGTTCCTGGCGCAAATTCTTCCAAGTGCGGCCAGACTTCTATCACATTTGTCAGCATATTTGATAACTTCACCGGGTGCTTGCTCCTGGTTTTTGTTGACTTGATGCATTGGCCTTCGGCCCATCTCGGCACTGCGCCTGGGTTGTACGTCAGAGGTCTCTTGGATGCCTGCCATTGGGGAGGCTATTTGGAAGTCTCTTCTGGGCTTTTGGGGTCGTCTTGGGCCCTTTCGGAAGCCTCTGGGGTGCATCTTGATGCCTGGTTTGAGCCTCTTTAGGGCCTCCCGGAGCTTCTTGGGGGCCTGTCTAGGGCCTGCTGGCGGTCTCGGGGGTCATCTTGGGCCGGAGGGCTTGACACGTAAGTTTGAGATTCTGCTATTTGGGCCCCTCTTGGGGCCTTTTGGGCCGTGCTGGTCTGGCGGGGCTGGGACAAGGATTAGCCCGTTCCAGAGCGTTCCGGAAAGCCCTCAGAACGTTCCGGAACGCTCCAAGCAGGCCGCGGCGCTCGATCAAACGTCCAGAGCCGCCGGATCTCAGAGATTCTCGATTCGCCCTCGTCCGAATCTGTCCTCACCCTGGCCTCGTCTTACTTGAGGGCCCTCGTGGGCCGTCTTGGGGCTCGCTGGGGGCGGGGCCCCGCGCGCAGCGCCGTGCCTCGCGCCCCGGCTGTGCCCCTGGCTTGCTCCGCCGCCGCAGCGGGAGCGGGTGCGCGCCTCCTGCGCGCACCAGGCGGCCGCACCCGCGGCGAGCAGGCCGCGCCAGCCCCAGACTTCTCCGACGCGAGGGGAAATATCGGCGAAGGGCTTTTCCCTACTCTTCGGCCTCTGCTGGGATGGGCGCAGGGAGTGCTCCTGCAGGGGACAGGAGGTCTATCAGTGGACGCCAGGGGGGTTATACCTGGCCCAACCTAGCTTAGAAGTGGGTGACACATGCCCCAAGTGGCCTAGGAGGCCCAACCTAGCTTATAAGTGGGTGACACATGCCCCAAGTGGCCTAGGGGGATTGGACAACTCCTCTAAGTGGGGGGAGCCCAAGAAGCCTGGATTGCAATCCCCCCAAGCCACGCTTGGGGCATTAGCAACCCACTAATAGCTTAGGTTCGGCCAAATATATCACACCTTGGCATCCACTGATAACGCCCCCTATACCCTCAGCACCCCCCACGCCCATCCCAGCGGGGGCCTTGACCGGGCATCGGGGCCGTCAAAAAACAGCTCGGTATGAAAGATTGGTTCCAGGGAAGGGGTCGAGGCCTCCTGGGGGTTGACGACGCCCAGATACCTTCCGACATGATTTCGTCAAGCCGCGGCCCCAAGGGACCCGGGGTGGGCTTGCGTCCCGGATGGCCCTTGGGCCCGAGAACGAGCGCGTTTTTGTTTTCGTTGTTGTCGGCAGCCGCTGGCGCAGCCGCCGTGGATCGCGCCGCCCGCAAGCCCAGAGCCACCGCCGCTCCGTCCTGGCGCCACCGCCGCCCCAGCGGCAGGCCCCGGCTGCGCCGGGCTGCAGCGTGCCGCGCGAAGATGCTCCAGCAGACCACTGGGATGGGCGCCGGCGTTGCTAAGGGGATAGGGGCGTTATCAGTGACGGCCAGGGTGGGTAATATCTGGTCGAACCTAGCTCATTAGTTGGTTACTGATGCCCCAAGTGGCTTGGGGTGGATAGCGAACAAGGCCGAATGGGCTCCGCCCGCTTAGCGGAGCCGTCTGATCATGCCTAGCCACTTGGGGCAAGTGCAACCCACTTACAAGTTAGGTTAGGCCAGATAGAACCCACCTTGGCATATCCACTGGCAACCCCCACGCCCATCCCAGCATCCACGCCAGCCTGCGCGACGGGGGGGTGGCGGCCGCCGGCGCCGCGAAGGCCGCGTCGACCTCCGCGGCGGGGGGACCTGGCCCAGGGCCACCTGCGGGCCTGGCGGCGCCACCGGTAACCCTCTCGGCCTGCACCGCCGCCAGATCAACTTCTGCACGGCCGCTCCCAGACCACCGACGTCATGATTTGTTCATGATGTCGACCCTCAGAGGTCTCGACCGAGGAAGCCCAGACCCCCTCGAGCAATGAAAAAAACATGACAAGAGGTTTTTCCTGATTCTCGGCCTCTGGAGGCCCTTACTGGCCCTCGGGGCCGTCGAAAAACCACTCAGGATAGAAAACTGATCCAGGGGAATGGGTCGACCCTGAACGGTCTCGATCCATTCCCCTGGATCAGTGTTCCATCTTGAGCCGTTTTTGTTGACCGTCCCGATGGCCGGTAAGGGCCTCCAGAGGCTGAAAGGTCGGAACAACCTCCCGTCATGAGTTTTTCATTCGTCGAGGGGGTCTGCACGGCTTGCACGGCCAGCTCGTGCAAGTTTGCCACGGCATGCGCCGCCTCTGCTCGGCCACCTCCCAGGCGTCGCCCGCAACACATGCCAGGACGCGCCCTCCGGGCCGCTCCGGAGCGGCCACGCAAGGCATCCGCCATATCGACATGGAGCCAGAGCCCCAGATCTTGCAGGATCCTGCAGGGCCAGGGTCGCATTGACCCGAGCTTTGGCGCAGCGCGCCGCTGCCTCGCCTCCCACCCCCGACCCCCAGACCCCACAACCTCGACCCCCAGAAGTCTGGACCCCTTCCCGGGGAGCCTTTTTTCATACCGAGTCGTTCTGTTGACGGTCCCGCGGCTCGGTGAAGCCTGCCGTCGCGATTTTTTTTCACAACGCGAGGGAGCCTGGCACCGCGCGGCACAGGCAGTGCCGTGGGGGTGCCGCCACCAGGCGGGCCGCCACCCCCTCGAGGAGACGGGCCCCGATGGACCCCCAGCAGGGCTGCCACCAGGGACGCCCCAGAAGCATCTGGCACCTCCTCGACCCTCGTTCCCTGGGGGGCGCGCAGTGGGGGGGCGCGACCAATCACGGGGCGGCGAGGGCTGCACCGAGCCCGCCGAATTCTGGGAAGGCCCGCTCCGCGGCAGTGCGGGAGAACGCACGGCCGCCAGGCGCGTCACAGCCACCGTCTCGGCCCCCGTTGCCCCGATCCGGCCCCCGTGAGCCGCCCCATCGCAGATCTGCAGCAGCCCCGGGCGCGGCGTCCGCGGCTGGAGGAACTGCCGCGTCGCCCCAGTGCCCAGCCGCAGGCCGAGCCCAAGGAGCCCTCGTGGCGGGCCCGTGCACCAGGCCCGCAGGCACGGCCCGCACCAGGGGGCGTACCCGAGCGGGGGGGGGCAGGGCGGGTCGCAGTCCCGTCCCAGGACACCGCTCGGCACGCCCAAGGGTCGGCCACATCCGCAGGGGCAGCCCAGCACGGGCTGGCGGGGCCCGGTTTGCCGATCGGCTACGCCGCCATCCCGCCGCCGACCTCGCGGCTGCTGCTGCTGCTGCTGCCGCCGCTGCTGCTGCGGCCGCTGCCGCCCGCCAGGGACCCGCCCCACAGCCGGCCCTAGACGTCCCCGCGACGAGCAGCGCCCGCAGCGCCGCCAACGCCTCCTCGTCGGAGCGGCATGGCCCCGCACGAGAGTTACCTCTGGCCCGCGCCTGCGGCGAGGAGGCATCTGGCGATTGTGATGTTGCTGCAGCAGGCCGCCTGCCTGGCCCAGCCTCACCAGCCCGCGCGCATGCCCGCGCGCCCTCCGATGCCGACGGTGCGCGGGCTCGTGGGCCGCCGTCGCGGCCTTTCTGGGGACCAGCCCCTGCCCCCCATGGCAGCGCGCCCGCCCCCGCGCGCGCGCGCTGTCAAGAAAGCCTGAGCAACCTGGCGAGAAATTCCAACACACGTGAGCGACGCAGGGAAAGGGTGCCGTCTTCACCGTAGCTAGCGCTCCCTGAGGTCTCTATGTTATCTCCCCTGAGACCCCTTGCGTTACGCCGCTCAGAGGGCACAAGGCTTTCCAGCGCTCTGCGCAGAGGGCTTTTGAGGGACCTTATGGCACTCCTCCCCGTGCCTGGCCTCACGGAGGGCGGATCTTCGCGGTCTGCACCACGAATTTGACCGTTCACCGGTTGGGGCAGCGCGTCCCCGACTGCCTGCAGGACGTGCTGGCGGTCGCGGAGGACCTCCTGGAGCGCGGCCCCGCTGGGGTGAACGTCGACGCGCTGCGCCAGCACATTGCCACCGCCCGCCAGACCGAAGATGAGACCGACAAGGAGGACGTCCGACGAAGGCGTCAAGACACCACCACCGTGCCAGGCCCGGTGCCGTCCTGGGCCCTAGGATGGTGTCTAGACCCTCCTGGCCTCGGCCAAGAGGGCGTCTACACCAAGCCAGGGCCACGGTGGCCCTGGCTTGACACGGTGGTGGTGCACAGATGCCCTCTGCGCAGGACATGGTGTGGAGTCACCTCTTCACGCCGCCCTACAACCGAGAGATCGTCGACGCGACGATGAGCGAGTGCGACGACATCTACGTCGCCATGTACGCCCTCCAGGCCTCGGCTGCTCGCTGCGGACCCTCCATCAGCATCCCCGGCATCATGCTCGAGGTAATGCCACGGGGTCTGATGTGGTGGGTTCGGCGATACCCGGTCATCTTCAAGGCTCTCCTGATGAACGAGAACGACCCGTTCCCGGACCGCGATGACGAGGTGACCTTCCACAACGGCGAGGAGTGCCTGCGGTTCCAGCACGTCGTCAGCACCAAGCTGGACGCAGAGGCTCAGCGATATAAGACTGGTAAGCTAAACTGTCCTGTAGTCGGGAACGCCAGTCCCAAGGCGGCTTAAACAATTATACCGCCATTTGCCACCGTTGGGGTAAACATGTTCCAGCTGCCCTGGTACAGGCGCCTCCGATGGCGGAATCTATTATTTTCTATCTATTCTCGCCCCTTGTGAGGATGACGCCAACGTTGTATCCGTGATGGTACTGCGCATCAGGGTCTGGCAGATCTGCATATCTCTGCAACGGCTCCGCGTCATCTTCGAGGAGCGCGCCGACTGGGCCGCCGAGGAGTGCGGCAACGCGTGCGACCGCGACAGGATCGGGTCAAGCGGGAGCGGTAGGACGAGCATCAGCGGAACGGAAGAGTCGGCGCACGAGCGGGACCCGACGAAGGAGTCGGGCTCGGGCCCGGCCTTTCTGCGGGGCAACACCTGCCAGCTGAGGTCCGTCGAGCAGGACGTGTTCGAGTTTGCGAAGGCGGTGCGGCTGCAGCGGCTGAAGTCCAAGGAACTTTGGGCCTCCTAGATGGGGGCGGAGTGGATGGGGTCGGAGGATCGTGCCGCATCGCCGATGCATCGGCGATGCGGCTCGATGTGAAGCCCGAGTTTCTCCACGCCGACGTCGCCGGTGCACCACCCACGACGCCAGTGCATCGCCGAGACATCGCCGATGCATCGGCGATGCGGCGCGATCCTCCGCCTCCGACCACATCCACTCCGAGACCCCCTTTGGGAGGCCCCATCTGAGAGGACGCGGCGGAGGACTGCCGCTCCGGGACCGCGGAGGACGTGGACCTGGACTCCATCACCCTGGACCTGGAGGCGGCCACGGGCGGCCCCTCGCCGCAGCCGGGCGCCGAGGAGCGGCAGACCGCAGGCCCGCGGCACCACGCAAGGGTACGGAGCACTCCACGCCCGCTGCGCCGCAGGGGGCCTCCTGGAGCGCGACCTCTTCGGGGGGGCGCGTCGTGGTTTCGGTGCGGTTCGGCCCGCGTGCGCGGGCTCTGCGTGCCGGAGCGGCCCCCCTTCGGGGGAGCGCGCAGGGGGGGGGGAGCTGAACGTTGGGGGGGGGGGAGCAGCGAGGGCTGCCGAGAAGGGGCGCTTCCGGGCCCCGAAAGGGACCCTGTCGGGCCCAGAATCAAGGGAGGATCAACCACCCGGACCGGACAATTGGCGTTTGCTGAACGGTCCTGGGCGTTTACCAAAAGCCCTATTCGATTCCTTCCTTTGGTGCGTTTAATAAACGGCCTCGCTCGTCGGAGTGGTTATTATGGGGGTGGATCTTTTGCCTTCTACAGAAGGAAGGGGGCCTCCAGGGTTCCGAAGAGGGCACCGTTCTCCCCTCGCAGTCATCGCCCCCTCATTACTCCCCCCCGCATTGATCGCCTCTCCATGCACTACTTCGCGCCCAAGACCTCCGAGGGCCACCGGGTGGGCCACGCTCGAGCACTGCCGTCGCACCGCGCGCAGCGATCGGCAGGCCGGCGCACCCGACGCACACCCCTGGCCGCCTGCAGGGCCTCCTCTCGCGTGCAGGTGGAGACCCAGACGTGCGACGCCCCGACTTGTTCCAGCACGCGGCCCCCAGACGTTGCGACCCTGCCCCTGGGTCCGGCCTTTCTCGCGAAGAGTGGTCCGCAGACCCATGCAGACCCCCAACGTCGTGATTTTCTCATGACGTCGACCCCCAGAGTTCTGGACCCCTTCCCTGGAACCGGTTTTCCATCCCGAGTCGTTTTTTGACGGTCCCGAGGCCCGGGAAGGGCCCCCGCCAGAGGCCGAAAGGAGCGCGAGAACTTTCCCGTCGCGAGTTCATCCCAGCGCGAGAAGGGTTTCGGGGGAGGGCCCCGCAGCCAGTTGCGAGGCACCTCCCGCCGTGTACTGTGTGGTTCGGCGCGACCACGTCTGGGGAGGCACCCCTCGCGCGGAGCCGGGCGCCGCGGGCCCCCTGCCGGGCCCAGGGCCGGGTTGGGCGTCGTCGCTGCTGCCGTGCTGCGCGGAGGCGCTGGGCCGCGCGGAGGCGCTGGGGCGCGCGGCGCCGCTGGCGCCGAGGCGATGAGCACCGCGCGGGTCCGCCACGGAAACGCATACGCAGACGCCCGCCCCCCCAGCGGATTGTTCCCAGACCCCCTCAGGCAATGAGAGGATCACGGCGGGAGGTTTTTCCTGATCTCCGGCCTCTGGAGTCCCTCACCGGCCCCAGCGACCGTCAAAAACCGATTCAGGAACTAGAAACTGCTCCCAGGGAAAGGGTCCAGACCTCTCGGGGTCGACGTTGTGAAAAAATCGCGACGTCGAAGGTCTGGGTCCTGGGCCTCCTGGAGATTCTGGCGCCGCAATAGTTCCACGTCGGGCGACTTTGCCCCTGTTTGGAGCACGGGACGCTCTGAGATCGATCCGGCTTGGAACATGCAGCAGAAAGAAAGTGTCCAGGGTGTGGGTCCAGCGTTTATTTGCCATGTCACGCTTTGTTCCTAATGGTGGATCTCAGGGAGGGCCCCCACCTTGCCTTATGATGCTCCAACTCACTTTAGCCTTGACCACCAGGAAGAATTTCGAGCACCAAGCAAGTACCGGAGCTGGAGGGTTTTCACGTGTCGGGCCCTGGGAGGCGATACTCGTTCGACCCTGTTTCGACATTATCCTGGGTGCTCGAAATCATTTCTGGGATGTGGTCCTGAAGTACGATGGGAGGCAGCATAAAACTTGTGTCGCGCTGTGACACAACTGACGACGTGAGGTTTCGGACACTGTTCCACCCCTGGGGGGCCCTCAACGGGCCCCCAGGACCGCCAAGGCGCCACTCGAGCGGGGCGGAACCGCAGGCCAGGGTGAGCGGCCCAGACCTCCGGAGGGGCCCCGCCGTTGCGAAGGAAGCGCGCCGCCGGAGATTTGGGGGGGCGCCCCCCAGCGGATGGCTCCTGGGCCTCAGGGGAGGGCGGCGGTGGCGGTGTAGGTATACGTGCAGGACCTCAGGCTTGGCGTGCCGGATCTGTGGGCCGCAAGGCACACACAGATGTGAGCTCGCAGGCGCTCGCGTGCTGTCTGAGTGGCAGCAACACTGATTTCCCAGTCGCAGTCTCGATGGATGGATGGCCTGCCACTGCTACTCGAATGCGAGCTGTCTACCAGATTTACCTTATCCCCCGTTGCCTGTAGCAGGACACGGCCTCTGTGCCGATCGGGAGTAGCGTAGCGTGGCGCAGCGTAGCCGCTGGTTCTGGCAAGCCAGGCTGCCACGGGATGCTGTAACCACATTCCCATCTCCAAGCGTCGACGCCCCGAGTTTCCCCCAGCCTCCCGCTACGCGGAGCGGAGCGAGACGTTACCCGCTTGGATGGCACGGCGTGTCGCTGGGGCCACCACGGCGACACGCCACGTACGCAGAAGGTCCTGACCGTAGATCACCAATGTCAGCCCGCGACGTTGTACAGCCCCCACCCTCCCAGAGAACCTCCTTGGCGGGCGTCCGTGTTATGGGTTCTCGTGTCGTGTTAGGATGCCCCGTGCGCCCCCCCACGCCGCTGAGCTCAAGGCCTGAGAGCGCACGCGCCTTCGGGAGGTGCCAGCCTCTGGAGGACGAAGAGGTGAGAGGGCAAAGTCAAGTTGCCTTCACAGGGCCAATTTCTGGGGCATGTGCCCAATAATTACAGCAGCCACTTTCCAGCCGCAAGCGTGCACCGACACATGGGTGTCGCTGCGAAAATATAAACACATTCGGGGTGGAGACGTCTATGCACAAGGGGGCCGTTACGTTTGGCGCAGTACGGGGTCGGAGATAGGGTCGATCCGTGTACGGTGCGCTCCTGTTCTGGTAGGCACCAAATATCGTGCGCTCCATCGAAAGGGGTACATACCAGCAGCGCTCCCCTCCCAGAGCTCCGAAGCAGTTTTTGTCTGTTGCGCTGCGTCGGCCCCCCGAGGACCTGCACCCCAGCGGTTCCTCCCGCGCCGCTGCGCCCGACGGCCCCGCGGGGCCGGGCGGGGGGGGCCCCGCGGAGGCCGAGCACGGTCGCACACCGCCCGTCGTGATCCTGCCACGACCGCGAGGAGTTCCGAGAGGCGGGGACGCTCCTCGCCTCGAGAGCTTCTGTCGGGGCTCCAGAGACGGGGGTCAGGGCAGGCGGGGGTCAGTCAGAGCGCATGATCTTGCAGGATCCTGCAGGGCCAGGGTGCACAGGATCCTGGAGGATTTTGCGGAATTCTGCAAGCCCCGACTGGCCTGGGGTTCGATTGACCCGGGTCAGTAGATCCCCGATTCTGTCCTGAGCGCACCCCGGCGGGGATCCATCGAGCACGGGACCGACTATACAGAACTGGTTTACCCCAGTGTTGACTTGCCGGTCGAGTCAGTACGACACACGCGTAGTATGCTCCGTGCATCAAGCCAGTTCTGGGGTAGACCGATTCTGTAGTCGACCCCCAAGGGGAAATATCACACCAGAGAAAAACCCCACTCAGTGGATGGTTTGAAATGAGATCGATAAAGAGATCGATGAGGAGATCGACTGGGAACCTGGGAACCCGGAACCCACCGAAATCGGACTGGAACCAGCAATGACCAGGAACCCGGGAGCCCGGAACCGGGAGCCTGGGAACCCAGCCGGCCACCAAAATCGGTGGGAAATGTTCGCCAAATCTGTCAATTTCCGCTCGGAACCCTTCAGTACAAGTCCGAGTCGACCACACGTCGAGTCGACGAGTCGGGGAAAGAAGCTGCCCGAGTCGACCACACGTCTTCAGCCGGACAAATGTCCCGGGCCGGCGCCGGGCGCCGCTTCCCACGTAGGGCGGCCCAGCGCCGGCCCAAGAGAGGCACCCCCGCGCCCTGACCTTCTGCCGCTCGTTTCGATGTGATCTGAATGTGGGTTTCTCTAGGCTTACGTTGGGCATGTCCCTCTACAGGAGGAATATCTGAACATACTACAAAATATTATGGGGACGATTTTTCTAATGTTTGTTTGACTATTTTAGGGGTATCTTTGGGGTGATTTAATTCTGTTGTCCAGAATCCGCTTGTAGGGGGACATTCCCGACATAAGTCTAGGCCTCCCCGATGGGGTCGGAGCAGATGGGATCGGACGATCGCGACGCATCGCCGATGCGTCGCCGATGCGGCTCGACGTGAAGCCCGATTTGCTTTACGTCGGCCTCGCCGATGCATCGCCGACGTCGACGCTGCATCGCCGGTGCATCGCCGATGCATAGCCGATGCATCGGCGATGCGGCGCGATCCCCCGACCCCATCAACTCGGACCGCCCGTAGTTCCCTCGGATTGCGTACAAGGTTTCCATGAGTTTCGATGAATCCGCAGTTTCCGCGGAGGTCGGAAGGTATGGAGGGTGGAGGTGGAGGGGAGTCTCCCACAGTTCCGAGGTATTGTTTTGCTGTGTACGCGGTCCCTGGAAGTCCCGAGTCTTTCCCCTGTCAGGAGCCTTGAGACGGGGGTCGGTGTAAACGGGGTTCAGCTGGAGTGGCGGATCTTGCAGGATCCTGCAGGGCCAGTTGACGCGGGCCTGCGCGCAGGAACTTGCAGGATTTTGCAGGATCCTGCAAGGCCTGACTGACCCTTGTTTGGATTGACCCGGCTCTACAGGTCCACGACCCTGGGCCTGGTGTCAGTCCCGCGTCGCTTTTTGACGGTCCGGGGGCCTGGCGTGGGCCCCCGGTGGCCGGTCACGGGGAACAACACCTGCGAGTTGAAGTGTCCGAATCGTTGGAGGCCTGGGCAATTTTTGTGATGCAGTGTTCTCTCCTTCTACGTCTCGACCGCTGCCCAGCGCCCGCTCGCACCTGCGCGCACCGGGGTTGCCTCGGCGCCGCGGGCCGCAGCCGCCCTGGAGGGCGTCGCAGGGGATCGCTGGGGCCAAGGGCAGCGTCCTGGGAGTGGGGGTCGGGAAGTTCTCATGAGGAGCGCGGGGGTCAGGGGTAACTTCAGGGGGATGACGTTTCGAGGTTCGAGGTTTGAGGCGCTCGAAGGCTTTTCCTCGGTTCTCGGCGGCTCTCCGGCCTCGGGAGGCCTGCAAGCAGTTGCGCCTCGCCGAGAGCGGTCGGGGGGTGCCCTGATCGTCCCGAGCTGCCTCTGGAGAGCCGAGGTATGAGAGGCTCCTGGGGGTGAGTTACATCGACCCCAGATCACTCATGGATCGCCGATATGTAGAGGCCTGCTACAGCCCACCCCGCCGAGGAGCATGCGATGTGTCGCTGTCGCCGATCTCTTGCCGATGCATCGCCGATTCCAGCTCGACTTTCCCCACCCTGAGCTGGACCCCCCCGACCTCCCCAGACGCTCTCGGGCAATCAACAAAAATCATGACGGGAGGTTTTTTTAAATGTTCGGCCTCTGGAGGCCGTTACTGGCCCTCGGGACCGGCAAAAAATGATTCAGGATGGGAAACCGGTTCAGGTGAATGGGTCGAGATCTCTTAGGTTCGGTTGCCTGAAAAAAAAAACATGACGTCGGGGGTCTCGGTCTGGGTCTGCCCCGCAGTGGAGGAGGAGAAGGGCGCTCTCGCTACACCGACGAGCGGCGCGCTGCGCCTTGACGGGTTGCAGTGCAGCATGATCTTCTTCTCGAGTTCGCCAGTCCCCATCCGAGATGGCTCGGAGGGGGCTGCGGTGCCGTGCCAACCACGGCCCATGTCTGCACTGGCGCGGCACTGCAGCCGACGTGGGATGGGCCATGCGGTGGCCTGACTATACGTCTCCATTTTTATTCGGTCTCTCTTCTGGCTTCACTTTGCTCGAGTTCTCCTGCACGTCCTCTCCAGCAGAACTGCCTGCAGGCTCGCTGTCTGACAGGACTAGCTTTGTACATGCGTGCCGCCGTCAACGCTCGCACCATTATAACACGGGGCAAGGACGACCTGGCCGGCACGGTTACCCTTTGGTCTTCTGGCTTTCTGGGCCAGAATGCTTCGGGGCATGGGCTCATGATAAGTATGAGTTTAGGTTGCCACCTAAGCCGGATACTACATTTTGGTCGCGCTCTCCATTTCAACGCGGTACGCATGATCCTGGTGCAGTCGTGTGACGTGCCTTTTGGATATGCGGCTCATCTGCGTTTGATTGGCACCACTGCTCGTTGCTCGAGGCTTGATGCTGAATAATATGTAGGCGGACCAAGGGATCTCATGTGCGCAGACGAAGCTTCTTTTATCAGGCATGCCTGGATTAGCGGCTGGCAGGCCGACCGCCGGTTCTTTCCGCGGACGGGTACGCACATGAGAAGCTCTGTGCAACTAATACGTTTTCTGTCGCCGTTGTGATGGCGCCCCACCGATCCTGGACGGTCGTGCAGAGCGCCTCGCAAGGGCACCTTTGAAGTCCGTCGCCATTGGAAGGCCTCCCCTGCTTTCAGCCTTGTGCCACTTGAAAAGATCTCTCGCTCCAGGACCCCGACGTCGCAACTTGTTCGCAACGTGGGCCCCCCGAGGTCACGGCCCCTTCCCCCATACCGGTCTTACACCCCGAGTCGTTTCATGACGGTTCTGGGGCCTCTTGCAATGGCCCCCAGAAGCCGAAAATTGCCATAAGGAGCGAGCCGTGCGTCGTTGTTTTAGTTCGAGGGGCCGCGACGGCCGGATTTGCCGCGAAGCTCTGTTCAGCACGCACCCGGGCGGACTCGAAGAAGAAAATGCTCGCGGTGCACGGCAGCGGCGCCGAGGCGGAGGTCCACAACGAGAGGAGGTTTTAGATCTCCCAGACGGGGTCGGATGAGATGGGGTCGGAGGATCGCGCCGTATCGTCAATGCATCGGCGATGCGGCTCGATGCGGAGCCCGATTCTCTCCACGCGGACGTCGCCGAGGCACTGCCGACGCGTCGCCGAGGGGTCGCTGACGCATCGACGCTGCAGCGGCGACGTCGGCAAAGTCGTCTGGCAATATCTGCTCGGGCCACGTCTTGGAGGCCTCCAGGGGTGCACAGCGGGCGGAGGGGGGTGGGCCCGCGGTGCACGGCGGCGGCCCCGCTGCGAGGCGGTGCGGCAGCAGCGGCGGCGGCAGCAGCGGCGGCGTCTCGACTTGCGGTGCGACAGCGGCGGCGCGACGGCGGCGGCGCGGCCGCGATGGCCACGCCGCGCTGGCGACGGCACGCTGGTGCCTCGAGGTACGACCAAAGGGAAAAGGCACGACGACCTGTGTGTTCGCTGTTTTCGGTTTGTGTGCGCGTTGACTGGGCGTCGGGATGGAACAGTCGGCCCCGGGCGTTTGTGTGTCCAAAAACGGCTAGGGATGGAAAAGTCGGTCCCGGGAAATGGTTCGAGAGTTCGAAGGATCGACGTTCTGAAAAGTATCATGACGTCGGGCGTCTGGGTCCGAAATCTAGCTGCCCTGATACGCCCATGCTGAAACTCAATACGTACGCTGTTCAAGACATCCGTGTTGACACGCTGCGTGTTGGTTCGGCACGTGTTGGTCCACGTGTTGTGGAACGTATCGCGCCAAACCTACGTCTCAAGTCTCTTCGATGAGCTCAACACGTTAATCTCTTGGGATCAGCACTGGGACCCCCGCGGCGGCGCCTCCGGCGCCGACCCTGGCGCGCCCTGCGCGCGCCAGGGGATGGGGCGCCCAGCGCAGATCCTGAGAGATCCGCTCGGATCCTCGGCGAAAGTCTCTGCTTACAGTCATGGGCAACCTTCCCAAGTCTACCCTTGCATCCTTGCCTCCTTGGTCCATCCTTAACGACCGTCCCTGGCCAGCCTCGTTCGAAAAGACGTGATCGTGGTCCTCCATTGCCCTTGCATCCTTACCGCGCAACCTTATGATACGGGCCGACTGTATGCTGTGTTCTCTTCCCCTATAGGGCCGCCCTGCCGCGACCGTGCAGGCGTTCTCCCGCCTGGGCGACCCCGCGAGGGTTCCTTCGGAGGCGCCTGCGCCCCCGCCCTTCCCGCTGCTCTCTCTCTCTCTCTCTCTCTATCCGCCGGCGCCTCGTCCTGTTTTCCTCTCCTCCTGATCCTCCTCCTCCTCCTCCTCCTCCTCCTCCTTCTCCTCCTCCTCATTTTGTTAAGCTGCCGCATCGCTCGCTGTTCGGCGAGCTCTACACGGGCGAGGATCGAAGAAGAAAAAACGGCACACACATAAACTTTTGGCGCTCCGCGCGGATTTCTTGGATCCGCGCTGGGCCTCCCGGCGGCGCCTCCAGCGCTGCTCCAACGCGCTCCGTGCGCCGGTGCAGGGGGTCCAGCTCAGATCCAAGAAATCCGCGAGGTGCGCCAAACGTGTATGTGTATGAACTTTGTTTTCTTCTAGACAAGGCCTGGGGGGTTGCTGGATGATTCGCAGCAGATTCAACAGCAACAGCAGGACGCACCTCACGATTGGGTGTATCTCTCTTCCTTCTCCTCCTCCTCCTCCTCCTCCTCCTCCTCCTCCACCTCCTCCTCCTCCTCCTCCTCCTCCTCCTCCTCCTCCTCCTCCTCCTCCTCCTCCTCCTCCTCCTACTCCTACTCCTCCTCCTCTTCCTCCTCCTCCTCCTCGTCCTTTTCCTCCTCCTACTCCTCCTCCTCCTCCTCCTCCGTAGCCGTTTTGGCTCAAGATGTCTTTTGCCCGTGGCAGAGCACGGATCATTACGGCTAGTCCGCTGCCAGACCGAAATCCCTCTCGCGGCCCCTGGTCCGCCCCAGGTGCCGCCTCCTCCCGCGCCCGCGGGTGAGCCGCTGTTTCTCGACAAGTTCCCCCACAAAGGATGGCCATGCCCGAGGCTGCTGGTGTGCGGAGCCGCGACGCGGATGGGCACCCCGAGCAGCACCGCATCGACTCGAACTGCAGCCAGCGCAGCAGCATCTCCAGGCGGTCCACTTCGTCGGAGAGCAGGCGCCGCTCGGACCGCTCGCGAGGCTCTGGACGCCGCGCCCGTTCCCAACGCCTGCAGGAGGGCAGGAGCGGCGGAGGGCGCGCGCCTGGTGTTGCAGTTCCTGGGGACCGTGGTGCTGCTGGTCGCCGCGGCCAGCGTGCGCGTCCAGATGCCAACAACTTCTCCCGTTCGGAGTCGCTGCTCCGCCAACGCGCCGCGGATGCCGCCTTCTAGATGGAGCGCGACGGCATTGACCTCGACCTGCTCCCCACGTTCCCGTCGCAGGAGCAGCGGCTCCCCTCGACGCTAGTGGGTGGGTGCGCCACACCCGGCGACGCGGCAGGCGCCCCGGCCTCCGCCGGTGGAGGCGAGCCCCCCGCCGCCGCTGCCACGGTTCGACCCGTGGCGGACCTGCTTCGACGCACCCCGCTGGGCCCTTCGCGTGGGCACCCGCCCGCGCACGCTCCTGCAGGTCATGATGCTCGCCGCGCTGTGCCTGGCCCTTCTCCTGGGACGCCCCCTGCCGTCGCTGACTTCGGAGCTGGAGGTGGAGGGGGGGCGACTGCAGCCGCCAGTTCGCAGGCCGCCATGCTCCAGCAGGTGCAGGCCGCCATCGCCATCGCCGGCACCAGCGCCGCGGTCTCCAGCGTCGACGCGACGCTCTCGTCGGGCCTCGCCCAGATCCAGGGCATCATGGAGGCAAGGGTCGGCGCCGTCGAGATCCGCGCGCAGGGGGGGCGAACAGCAGCATCAGCATCAGTTGGAACAGCAGTTGCGCGCTGACTTATCAAGACGGAGCCGCTCCCCGCCCCCGCTGGACCCGACTGGGACAGGCCCCCTGGCCTGGCGGCGGCCGTCCTCCACTGCAAGGAGGAGCTCCCCCAAGCGGCCCTCATGCAGGCCATCGCCCCGGTCCCTTCCGACGCGGGCTTGTAGGACGACGCCTTCGCGCTCGGGCAAGCGATGCGCCCTCCGCCTCAAAGGCCCCCCTGAGCTGCGCGCCCTTCGCGCCGACAAAGTGCTGGGCTGCATGCATCTGGGCTGAGGGGGATGGCGCAAGCCGAAGACCACCGCGCCTGCAGGGCACTCCGTCGACATCCACGCATCGACCGACCAGAACCGCAAGCAGGCTCGCGCGCGAGCAGCCGTCGACCGCGGCTGCCGCCATCCAACAGGATCTCTACGCCATGGTGCTGGCACCGAAGCGGCACTTCGCCATAGTCTCGGGCGACTTCAAGTACGGCGAGAACGCGGAGGTGGAGGGCCCTCTTATCCCTGGAGGTGGCCTGCGGGCTACCCTCCACCCTCTGGGCTGGGCTTGGAATCGCGCCCTCGCGGCGCCGATGGGGATGGCCCCGAGCAAGCCCGCGCGCTGGCATCCTGGGCGCCAGATCGCCACATCGATTGACAATATATGGATCGGGACTTTGGGACGATCGCTCAGACGCACCAGCGCGGCCAAGCACACAGAGAACCGCGTGACTTTCACCTCCAGGGCACCTCGAACAATGCGCTGTTCTTGCCCTCCTGGACTCCCAGGCCGCCAAAGAGGCGACCCACCACTGGCGCGATTAACCCGATCCCCAGCTTGGTCACCGACAACCAGAAGCTCATTGATGTGGTCGCCGCATACGATGCCCGGGCCCCCTTTCCTGCTGTTGTCTCCGCCTGACCGCGCCCACTGCTTCGCGGGGCGAAGCCCCCCTGCTGCCGCCGCCAGAGACGCGCCCCTGAAGGGGGGCTCTGATTTGGCGGCAAATCGGACCACGCGCGAACGCACCAGGTGGTCGAGATCCGCCCCGCTACGAGCCTGGTGGGCGGCGAGTGCGCCTGCCTCAACCTGAACAGTTCTCGCGCCGCCACGGGTTGGCACGGCGCCGAGAGGCGCGCGCGCGGCTGCGACGTCGCCAACGGGACATCGACGCCGAGCCGAGGGGGCGCGCCCACGCGGGCCCTCCGCCGCCGCGCGGCCCATTGGGCGCCGACCTCGGTTCGGCGCTTCCCGGCGGCATCGAGCTCCCCGACGGCTCCGTCGTCAGGGCGGGGGCAGACGTCCAGCGGGCCCTGGCGGACTACTGGCGAGGCGTCTCCGGGGGCGACGCGCGGGCGCGACGGCAGCTCGCCGACGCCAGGGCCCGCGAGCAGTCGCAGGCGCCCATGACTCTCAGGGGCGAGATCCTTGCGCCGAACGACCGCGCCCCGCCTCGACGCGCGACGCGCAAGCTCGCGGACCAGGCGGGCTACCTGCGGCGCTTCGGCATCAGGGGGTGGAACGGGCCCCCCTGCCGCCACCGTCCGCGCGCGCAATCGACCACGCCCTGCGCGGGGCGCGCGCGGCGGCGCCTGGCCCAGATGGCCCTGGCCCCAAGGCCCGGCTTTCCTCTCCATGCGGTCCACGCAGGGCGCAGACCCTGGCGGCCGCGATGGAGCGGCAGCTGGATGGCTTCCCCACGCGCCAGGAATGGAACTTCTCCGCGGGCGTCTTCCCTGCCAAGGACTCCCGAGACGACGGCCCGCTGGAGGCGCCCCTCGCGCTGGAGGGACCAGGCCGTTTGCGCCGGAGAGATCCGCCAAGAAAGCGATCGATCATGTGGCCGCTCAAGGAGTGCCTGGAGATAGCGGTGGGGTTGCGCTGCGTCGGCACGCAGCGCGGCTTCCTACGAGGCCGCTACTTATGCGACAACATCGCGGAGCTCGACGCGCAGGCTCGCATCGCGTCCATGACGACGAAGGACAGCGATTTCCCTTTCCTCTTCTCCTTCGACTGGGACCAGGCCTTCCCGAACGGAGCACGGCTGGTTCTTCTTCACGCTGCGCGCCATGGAGACGCCGCGCGGGCTCCGCGACGCGCTGCGGGACATGCGACGGCGTCGTGACCCTGGCGGCCTCGCGCTCGCGCGCTCGCGGCGCCGCGCGCTCGGGCGTGCTCCAGGGCGACCCCGCCAGCGGCGCGATCTCCGCGGTGGCGGCCCGCCCCTTCGGCAGGGACCTGGAGCGCAGAGGGGTCTCGAGGTTGTGCGCCGGCGACCTAGGCGCCTCGGCGAGGTCCGCCCGTGGGCTCGCGGCCCTGGCGCGAGTCTTCCACAGCGCGGGCGCTGGAGGGCTCGTGCATCAAGCCGGGCTAATGCTTTGCCATCCCGCTCGCCGCCCCCCTCTCGGACGAGCTCATCCTTCGCGCGCGTGAGCGCCTGGCGGCTGCCGACCCTGCCTGCGGGGCCTTCCACGTCGTCGACCCCCCATTGAGTACCTGGGCGCGCTGATGGGGCCAGGCCGCGCCCCTCTCGTCGCGGGCGGTGCTTCTCTGCGCGGGGGGGCAGGGCGCAGCTCGTCGAGGCGCCGCGTGGTTTCAAACAGTTGGAGCGCGTCCTGCTGCGGGGCTGCTCCGTCTCCCTGGGGGCCTCTTTGGGAGACGAGGAATGGCGCGAACTCCCTGAGGTCGGCAGGCCACCCAGTCCGTTAGCCCCCCCGCGGCGTTCAGCCGCGCTGGTGCGCGCAGTCGCGATGACACTGACGTCCTGGCGCGATGCGGCCGCTGACCTCCGACGAGCTGCCAGATGGAACCTTCCGATCGCGCGCGCGGTCACTGGGCGGCCGTGACCAGCGCGGTGGCAGAGCGACGCCTTCGCCACGACGCTTGAGCAGGCGGCGAGCGACCGCGGGGGCTCGCCTCGCGCCATCGCCGTCCGTGACCTTCGCAAGGCTCTCGCTGCGACAGCCCGCCGCGTGACCCAGGATATCGATGAGACGAGGCAAAGCATGCATGTATCGTGGGGGTCTGTTGGGGCCACCCCACCTGGGATACGTGTGCCCCCTGGCCCTGCTGCAGATGACGGCTTGGGCGGGGGCCAAGAGCTGTCGCTGCGTGTGCGCGCGCAGAGTCTCCTCTTCTCCTCCCTCCTTCGCTCGTCGTTCCCTGTCCCTCCTGCCCTTCCTCTCCTCCACTGACGTCTGGGCACTCGTCGTAACTGCTGGTTTGGGGTCTCTCCCGCCGATGCTGCCGCGATCGACTGGTCGGCCGTCGTGTCGGCGAAGCTTCGCGTTCCCCCATCCTGGAGAAGTGCCAGCATTAAGGCGTGGATCACGAAGTCTAGGATGCGTAACCCGTACAGGGGATGCGTATGGGGATGTCCTGGGGCCCGCGACTCGCTCAAGCATCCGCAGGCTGTTCGGATATGATTTAGCCGCTTCCCCATTTTTGGACCCCCTCCTGGCTCTCGGTTTTACCCACCATAATCCCGCAGCCCTTCAGTTCACTGCCATGTATCTCCGGATCCACAGACTCGCCCATCAGGAGAGTAGGCGGTGCTCCCTCCTCCATGATATGGTTGGTGGCACCTCCCTCGCGCGCGCGGCCCTTCAGACTTTCGAAATGCCCCTCGGCGGTGCCCATCGTAGGCGGCTCAGGCGTAGATGAGGCTAGATTTCAAATGACCCGTCCCCCCCCCCCCAGACGCTCCAACCTCCTCCTCCTCCTCCTCCTCCTCCTCCTCCTCCTCCTCCTCCTCCTCCTCCTCCTCCTCCTCCTCCTCTTTCAATGTGCCATACGTGCCCGCTCTCGCCCAGGCTTTCGCCTCTGGGGAAAGCCCCCGTGGCGACGTTTCGCACCTGCGGATGCCACGGTTGTGGCGTCCCGTGTAGTCACATCTTTGCACCCAGTGCACGCACGATGTGTTATTGTGCAGCCGGCTCGTCTTCCACCGCTTCCGCGGCGAAGGGCCCCACGAGGCGTGGAGGAAACCGGTCAGAGCGGGGCCGGCTGACCGCACCATGACCAATGGGTGTACCGATTTGCGCATGTATATATGTATGTATATATACACATATACATATGTTAAGTATATGTTGGTTTTCATATTCCTATGTACGTCATACATATACATATACATAAACATGAGCATATACATATAAATGTACGTCTACATATATATATATATATATATATATATATATATATATATATATTCCGCTGTGTAAATATACGCATCGAATATGATGTATACGTGTACATATATATACACATATATTTATATATACATATATACACATGACTGTAAAGTCCCCTGTAGTGAAATGGGCCTGACCGCTGTTCTTGCGGCCCCGTGGCCGCCATCGCCGCCACATCGCCACCCCTTTGCCGCTCGTCGTCTGGGCCTGGCCGGCGGTACACCGCGTCGGTGGTCGCCGTCGCCGCCCCGTCGCCGCCTCGTCGCCGCCCGTCGTCTAGGCCTGGCCGTCGGGCTGGCGGCCATGTTGTTTCTCCATAGTCATTCCACGTCATTGTCCGAGTCAGGTCGATGCACGTGAGGGTTCCCGGGGCGCGAAGAGGCAGGTCGAGCCTGTGCCGTTGCGGACGAAGTTGCGACGCCATTATTTCAGGGCCCCGTGGAGCCAGCGAGCCCGCCAGGGCACCGCAAGACGGAAAAACTCACGTCCCCCCCGTCGCCTGGTCCCACCGCCAGGCGCGCACCATTCCGCACCTGCTGGGCGGGTGGTAATGGGGGGGAGGACCTAGATGGGGGTGGAGAAAATGGATCCACAAGGCGCCCTTCAGGGCTCCTTGTGGGCCCCCGCCGGTTTTTTTCTTCACCCCCCTTTCCCAGACCCCCGACGCCCGGATTTGTTTGCAACGTCGACCCCCAGAGGTCTGGACCCGTTCACCGGAACCGGTTCTTCATCCCGAGTCGTTCTTGGCCGGTCCCGAGGCCCCTGGAGGCCGAAACTAGTGAAATATCTCCCGTCGTGATTTTTCGCAACGCCAGGAAGTCTGGGTTTAGGTCGCCCCCCACTACCATCCGCCCGAGCCTGCCAGTCCGCCGCGCCTGTCGCAGCGCGCGCCGCATGGCTGCCTGGGTCGGTGGGCACCCCCGAGCCTGGGCCTCCTCTGCTGCCCACGAAGGGCCGCGGGGCGCGCGACCCCCTCCTCCCCCTCCATCTTCTTCTCTCCTCATCCTCGCCCATCCTCTCCTTCGGCTCCTCGTCCTCCTCCTCCTTGTCCTCCTCCTCTTTCTCCTCTTCCTCTTCCTCCTCCTCCTCCTCCTCCTCCTCCTCCTCCTCCTCCTCAACCTCCTCCTCCTCGTCGCTCCTCCTCGTTTTTCCTCTCCTGCGGCTCCTCCTCACTCTTCCTCTTATGTGGTTCCTCATCCCTTCGCCCTCGCAAAAGAATCTCGGATCGTGGATCCTTGAGCCTCGAGCCTCGATCCCAGCCATGGCCCCAACTGGGGTAAACCTCGAGCCTAGGATCCAGACCCCCTCGGCCCTCAGACCCCCAAACCTGACCATCGATCCAGACTCCTCGATCCTCCGTCCAGGCTCCTCCATTCTCCACCCTTTCTAGGCGTGTCATGCGTGAGGGTCGTCTTAAGCGTGAGCTGTTGCTTTCTAGGCGTGTCATTCGTGAGGGTCGTTGTATGCGTGAATTGCTGTCTTCCCTTGCTCCAAAGACATCCGTGACGGCTTGCGAGCGACCAGTGGTCGCGAATTGGCGCTGGTTGGCGCTGAGAAGCGCTGACAGACACGAATATAGGTGCCACGGGGCGCCAGTGGGCCCGAGTAGGCGCTAGTAGGGACACTGGTACGTAGACGCTGATCGGCGCCAGCAGGGCGGAACTGGACTCAACGTCATTCTCACACGTCTTACGTCGCAGCGCTTCAGAGGCAGTCCGCACGCGCGCTTTCGGGCAAGCCGTGCGACGGCATCATTGCCCAGGAAGCAGGAGGGAGGGGAATATGAGGGGGAACAGAGAGGAGCGGCCGCGGGAGGAGGGGAGGGAACCAATGCGCTCGCGTGGCTCACTCAAATTATTATTTTTTATGTTGTTTCGTTTCTTCTCTCTCTCTCTCACACACAATACCTGGACCTCCGACGTCGTGAGTTTTCACAACGTCGTAACGTCGACCCCCAAGAGGTCTGTACCCCTTCCACGGGACCTGTTCTTCGTCCTGAGTCGTTGTTCGACGCTCCCGGGGCCCGGCGAGCGCCCCCAGAGGCCGAAGATACCAAAAAACCTCCCGTCATTTTTCAACGCGAGGAGGAGGAGGAGGAGGAGGAGGAGGAGGAGGAGGAGGAGGACGACGACGACGACGACGACGACGACGACGACGATACACAGAGCAGCCACGCCGCCCTGCGCGCCCCAGGCGCGCGACATGGGCCGGCCCTCGCAGCCCCCCAGCCAGATGAGCCTCAGCGACACCTCCGGCCGCCCCAGGCGGCCCCCCCCTGCACTCGAGGGCGGTGCGTGGCCCCAGCTTGGCCCGCCAGCGGGTCATGGCGTCTCCAGACCCCCTCGCGCTGCGACAACAAACTAGAATCGCGTGGTGAAGAAGTCACGACGGGGGAGGTGTCTCGCTACTGTCGGCCTCCGGGGGCCCTTGCCGGGCCTATGGGTCGTCAAGCAGCGAGTCGGGACGAGAAACCGGGCCCTTGCAAGGGGCCCAGACCTCTGGGGGTCGGCGTGATGTTCAAAATCCCGACGTCGGGGGTCTGGGCTCGCTCTCGGGGCTCCGGGGACGGGGGTCAGGGCAAGCGGGGTTCCGCCTGAGCGCCGGATCCTGCAGGGCCCTGCAGGGGCAGGGGCGCACTGACCTGGGCTTGGGCGCAGGATGTCGCAGGATCCTGCAGGAACTCGCAGGATCCTGCAAGGCCCGACTGGCCCGTCTCCGACGCTCTCCGATCCCGAGTTTTGCAGGGCGGGAGGGGGTCGCGATGCTTTCCCAGACCCCCTCGAGGCATGAAAAGATCACGACGCCCGGTTTTTCGCAAGTTCAGGCCTCTGGGGGCCCGGACCAGGCCCCGGGGCCGTCAGAAAACGACTCGGGATGCAAAACTGGTCTAGTGGAACGGGTCGAGATCTCTGGGGGTCGAAGTGTGAATTATCCCGGCAAAGCAACCTAACAGCGATGTGTAGAAGCATAGCTGGAAACATTGCCTGTGGTGTTCATGTAAGAGTGCTGTTGTAGAATTCTGCTTTCGCTTCGGTATCCGGCCGAACTGCTTCACGTGCTCGACGAGCGTTTGCAGAGGACCGCTCAATGCAGCACGCTGAGGAGCAGCGCTGTTCCCTGCCGCAGGCTGAGGAGCACCGCTGTTCAATGCAGCAGGGTCAGGAGCACCGCCGCCAGACCGAGAACTATCAGCATGTCCTGGCATTAAGGTGTGCAGTAGGCGCTGCGCAGTTCCTTTGAAAGGAAATCTTCGAAAGCAGGGCTGTAGCCAAGAAGGCTACGGGGACGATGATGATGATGAAGATGATGAGTCTTGGAAGTCTGGGAAGTGGAAGAGCACGAAGTGGCGTACAGTTAGCTCCGGGCATTCAAAATGTGGCCCGGGAGTGAAGTTCTGGGAAATGGAAGAGCACGAAGTGGCCTACATTTGGCTCCGGGCATTCAAGATGTGGCTCGGGAATTGTGTTCTGGGAAGTCCAAGAGCACGAAGTGGCCTACAGTTGGCTCCAGGCATCCAAAATGTGGCCCGGGAGTGGAGTTCTGGGAAGTCGAGGAGCACGAAGTGGCTTACAGTTGGCTCCGGGCATCCAAAATGTGGCCCGGGCATGGAGTTCTGGGAAGTCGAAGAGCACGAATTGGCTTACAGCTGGCTCCGGGCATTCAAAATGTGGCCCGGGAATGGAGTTCTGGGAGGTCGAAGAGCACGAAGTGTGTGACTGTTTGATGAAAACGAGCCCGGCCCTGAGCCCGGCCCTCGCTGTCCGGATGCCGCCCAGACCTCCCTCCTGAGTCATCAGATGCACTCTTTTGACACCATTAGAAACCTATCAGTCTTCGCTGTTAGGTGAAATCACAATGTTGTCGGAGGTTTGGTTTCCGCTTCATTCCCTTACGTATCTCGTCCCCACTTCATCTCACCCATCCTATCCCCCCATTAGAGAGGGGTCCCGAGGGCGCCTCAGATTATATGCTCGACGGGAAGCCCGCAATTTTGTTTAGGTGACACCGCGGCTCTAGCTGACCATCAAAGCTCCGTCGCGAGGCTAGCTGGCGCATATCTGCCTTGTGTTTTTGTACCTTCCCACCCCCCAGCCCATCCACCCCCCTCGTCCCACGCATCGGCTGTCCTGCCCGGCATGGGATCCGCGACAGGCCCCGAGGGCTCCCGACAGGCTTTTCGAGCCCCAAAAGGATCGCTTCCCGCAGCTGCGCCGCCGAGAGCAGTCGTGGGGGCGGCCCACAGGGGGGTGATGACAAAGGGGGATGGATACGATGACCAGGGCCATGCTATCTTCCGTGATGTCATGGCTCTTCTTCTTACTTCCATGCGTCCCCTGGACCCACTTGGTATGTGCACATGCCTCGGGCCATGAATTGCGAACCCCCCTCGTGGACGCCCCCGATGCCCTGGGGCCCCGAGCGTCGCCCGAGACGTCCTCCTCTGGCGCCAGTGGCAGGAGACGGACGTAAGCACAGCACGAGGCGTGGCTCTCGAAGGAGAACCAAAGACTGCCATACGGTCAAGAGCTCTGCGACAGCGTGTCGCTCTGCTGGTTCTGGCCCACCGCGCTTCGGCGCGACTCGCTATCGACTTCCCAGCCCCTAGGTGACAACGCACCGATCCTTTCCGAGCCTCCCGCCTGGCGAAGCGGAGCGACACGCTGCCCGCTCGCAGGGCATAGCGTGTCGCCGGGGCCGCCGTCGCGACACGCTTATCGGTGGAACGCAAGACCCGAGTAAGCCAGAACTCGGGTTTGCCGACTTTTTTTGACGAGCGCGTCCTGGATTTTGACGGTCCAGTTTTCGTGGGATGTCTGCAGCGGGAGCTCGCGTCAAATTTCAGATTGGGCTTCGTCATTTTTCTGATGGCCCCGTCGGGCCAACCCGAGTCCCCCGTACCCGAGTCTTACGTCTTCCCGAGCTTAGCAAAACATGTTCCGACCTTGAACTTTTGAAGCTCTGCGCGGGCTTGTTGAATCGGCACTGGGCCCCCCGCCGGCGCCTCTGGCGCCGCCCCTGGCGAGCTCCGCGCGCCAGCGAAGGGGCCGATCCAAGGAGCGGTGCCGGTGCACAGTCCTTGAATTGGCTGGGCCTTCCGCAGCACGGGGCCTTCCCAAGCGCGGTTTTTCCGGCGGCTGCTTGTGCAGGCGCGTCTATTGGTAAGCCCCTCTTGAAAACGCCTGTGCGGCCCGCTGAGAAGGAAGTGGGGGCCTCCCAGGGCCGCCTACGATCCGATTCGATGCGTCGGTTGGGGCCGCGACTCCGATTCGATTCGACTTGGTTCAATTCACAAGCATCGCCAGGGGCCAGCCGGAGCCAGTTGCGGCGATTCGGCTTCGATTCGAGTTGGGACGGTTCCATAGCGTTCCTATCCGTGGCCATACGACCCGATTTCGCGATTCGATCCAGCTCAGGCTTGCCTCCTTTGATCCCCCCAGCCCTCTGGGATGGGCTCGGAAGTTGCTTTGAGTGGGATCCGCCCCGGAGCTACTACCCAATCCCCATGTGTGAGCCACTTCGGGCATCTGCACCCGCTTATTGGCCAGTTTAGCCAGATAGAACTTCTATAGAACCTCTTTGGCATCCACTCATATCCCTTTAGCAGCAGGCAATTGTCATATCCATATCCAGTGCGTTTTGGACTTTCTTGGGAGCGGCGCCAAGAGGCCGAGGCGCACTGGATACGACTCAGCATCTGGCCTCGGTCTTCTGGCGAAGGGAGCCCCGTACCCTATCCCATTGGCACCCCCCGCGCTCATCCCAGAAGAGATACATGAGGCGTTCCGAAAAGAAAGGACTTGCCTTCGACGATCGAAGGAGTTGTCATCTCTATTGCGGCGGAAGGCGGCGGAAGGGCGGCGGAAGGTCGGCGGAAGTAAAACGAGGTGGCCTCCGCCGGCGGAAGCCGGCGGAAGGCTGGCGGAAGGCGGCGACAGAACAAAATGCGCTCCCAAGAGATGACAGCTTTTTTGTTTTTTGGGGTTCAGGGTCGCCCGGAGTCGGCCACATGTTGTCGGGAGGTCGTGTTGCCTCGCAGGGCTGGCCCGCCCGTTGCGACACCGGGCCGGGTAGTATCGGGGGTTGTTTCGGCCCTCGAGGAAGAATCAGCGCACGCGTGGTGCGTTCCAGAGAGGGCCTCGCCTTCAGGGATCGACGGAGTTGGCATCCTCAGACCCCCTCGCGTTGTGGAAACAAATCGCAACGGGAGGCTTTTTTGCTATTTTGCGGCCTCTGCGGGCCCTTACCGGGCCTCCGTACTGTCAACAAAAGACTCAGGATGAAAAATCGGTCCCGGAAGGGGTCCAGATCTCTGTGGGTCGACGTTGTGAAACGAACACGACGTCGAGGGTTGGGGTCTTTTTCTCGGCAGAAGGCGGCGGGAGGGCTACAGAAGGCTGGTGGAAGTAAAACAAGGCTATATCTCCGTCAGCGGACGGAAGCGGAAGGCCAGCTGAAGGCGGAAGCAAAAGATGCGCCCCCAAGAGATGACAACGTTTTTGGGTCCAGGGTTTCTGGAACCTGCCACATACGTGGCATCTTGCGCTCACGGACAAGTCAGAGGAAGAAAAGGTGCCCATACCGTTTCCCTTCCCTCGTGTTGGCCTTTGTGCGCCTCCTGGGAGACCCTCGTCGCCATGGCTGGAGTCGCGTCGAGATTTTGATGAGGACGCACCCCAGGAGAGGTCAGGGGAGTAGTGGTATGGGTACCTTGTTTCCTCCCCACTGGGATGTGCGCGGGGGGTGCTAATGGGATAGGGAGGTCTCAGCGGACGCCAAAGGGGGTATACATGGCTTACCCTAGTTTCGAAGTGGGATACACATTCCCCAAGTGGCTTATTTGGGATTAGGCAGCTCCGCTATGTGGGCGGAGCCCACTTAGCCTGGATCGCTATCCCCCCCAAGGCCCCTTGGGGCATTAGCAACACACGGATGCGCTAAGTCAGGCCAGGTATTACCCGCCTTGGCAACCACTGATCACCCCCCTATCCCCCTAGCATCCCCGCGCCCATCCCCTAGCATCCCCGCGCCCATCCCTCCGACATGCATTCTCGGCGGGCCGCGCGGATTTCCTGGACCTGTCCTGGGCCCCCCCCCTGGCAGTGCGTCTGACGCCGCTCCCGGACATCTGCGCGGGTCTCCGAAAGTCTACCCCCCACCCGAGGGGTGCGAGGTCTAAAGAGAAAACTCCCAGCCCGCCTGGCACACCCTGCATGCGGCGGCCGCCAGGCCCAAGGTGTGCCAAGTGCTCCCTGGGGATCCCGCCTCGCGTTCTCGGGTGGGGACTGGGAAGGCCCGACGGCTGGAACCGCCGACCCTGAAGGGGGACGACGACTCCGACCACGACGGCGGCGTCCGCGGCGACGACGACCCTGACGTGGGGCAGAGTCCTCAGTGATGTTTCGTGGGGCCTCTTCGGAGCTCGCTCGTAGGCCTCAGGGGGTCAGTTTTGGGGCCTCTTGGGAGCATCTGGGGGCCTCTTGGGAGCCTCTTGGGGGTCCCTTCTGGCTTCCTGCGGATCTCTTGGGGGCCTCTCTCCGAGGCCGAGGGCTCGAAGAGCTCGTTCGGGCTCCTGTGTGGGCACCCTCTTGGAGCCGATTGGGAGGCCTCTTAGGCCGTCTGGGGTGCCCCTAGCGCAGTCTTGCAAAGCTCCTGGGGGCCTCTTGCGCCGATCTTGGTGGCATCTTGGGCCGTCTTGAGGCGTCTGGAAGCCGAAAAGGCAGGAACGCCAGAATTGTTCAACAATCCTACATAGAAGATTTGGAAATCATGCAAGTTTGCCTGTTGGGGCCCTCTTGGTGTGCTCTTGGAGGCCTCTTCGAGCGTCTTGGAAGCCGCTGGGGCTGTCAGGAGGCGTCTTTACAGCGTCGTCCACACGCCAGCAGGGTCGATGGTTCTGGTCGAAACCAAATCACGGTCATGTCGCATTTCCTAATTTGCAGCGCTGTGTCCACGCCGATGCACCCGGGCGAGCTGACGAGCCCAGGGCAGCGCCCTCTCAGACCCAGATCGGACGTCGTGTTACCAGCGTGTTACCGTCAGTTGTCATGCCATCCACAAGCCAAAGGCCCTCTTCTGCGACGTCGCTTTTCTGTTTGCGACGTGCTCCCAGGTTGGGTGTATCTTTACGTGAGTCCTGAGTTTCACCGAAGGCCGTTCTTGTTCTGCATTTCGCGGCCACTCGCGGCGAAGAGGGGTTGATTGGTGAACGGCTGGCGCGGGGCGTGCGTGTTCCGGGACTCGGTCGGAGCGCTCCGGAACGCTCTGGGCGTTCAGGAACGTTCTGAGCAGGCCGCGGCGCCCGAGACATCCTCCAGAGCCGCCAGATCTCAGAGATTCTCGGCTTATCCCCAGCTGAAGTTACGGCAGGTTCGCGTCGTGTCGACCGGCGGCGACCCCAGCGCGGTTGTTTAAGGTTGAACGCCGCCCGTGGCCCAGAATCGGCCCATCCTTGAACGATCGGGCCTCTTTGAAAGGCCCGGTCGTTCAAGTTTGAACGGTCCCCGCGGTGTCAGGAACCAACGCAGGGGTCGACACGACGCGAAGCTACCCTTTCCTCGTCACAGCTTCGTCTTCGCCTGGGCTGCCCGAGCCTCTCTAGAAAACCGGCCTCCTCGAGGAGTCGCCCCCTCCCCGCGGCCTGCCGGCAGGGCCGGGCACGCGGCCACGCCGGGCAGCGCGGGGACGCTGGCCACGCCGAACCCGACCATCCCCAAGGCGCCGGGGCCGCCCGGCTCCTACACGCGCGGCCAGGCAAGGCGAGGGCAGGCCATCGAAGGAGGAGCCACGGCACAATCATAAACTTGTGGCGCTCGGCGCTGGGACACCCCTGGCGGCGCCTCGCCTGGCGGCGCCGCCCGTGGCGCGCTCCGCGCGCCAGGGCGGGGGTCCAGCGCAGATTCAAGAAATCCGCGCGGAGCGCCAAAAGTTTCTGTGTGTGTCTGTTTTCTTCTGCTGGGCCAGCTTCCTTGGGTAGGCAAGGCAAGGGTAATCAGGCAAGGGTAGGCAACGGTAGGCAAGGCAGACTTACGTCTTCAGCTTACGTGTAGAGCTCCGTATCCCATCGCTGCGTGTTGCGTGTTGTGTATCGGGGCAGCTAAGCTTGGTAATTGGAGCCGTCTGGCAGTTTGGGGTGGCCCAACTTTGGCTCTGGGCAGCAGGAAGGGCGGGCAGATTCGAGGCTATACTGGATTCGGAATGGTTTTTGCATGTTTCGACCTCCAGGTTCGGGTTTCGGGCCCCAGGACCGTGGAAAACGGATCCGGTGTGAAAATTTATAAATCAGATGGACCTTGGGAGGGGTCTGGAGACAGATTCTGAGCGGACTAGGCCTTATGACGCCCCTATTTGTTCAGACCTCCTGGGCGCCTCCAATACGTAAGCACGCTTGGCAGCACACCGCATTTGTCATTTCACAAAGACAGAGCGATCAAGATTTCGCCGGCGAGAGCCCGACACACTTCACTGGCCCTTACTCCTCCACATTCGCTCAGCTCCTCCACCTCCTCCTCCCGATCCTCCGCCTCCTCCTCCTCTGCATCCTCATCCTCCTTGTCCTCTTTGTCTCACCCCTCCACGGCCGCTATCTTCCACCGCGCTCGCCCTTCTCTTATTTTCTCTTCCTTCCCCATGTCTCTTCTTTATTTCCTTGCGTAGCCCCAGCGCGTCGGCGAGGCGTTGAGGTTCGCTTACGCCCCTCCTCTGCTGACCGCGGTGCCTCTGAAGGACGCTTCTGTAGGCAGGGAGTATGGGCCACCCGGCGTTGGTGGCGCGCAGGTCGTCATCTTCTGCCTGGACTGGAGCCTGTCCATGTTATCGCAGGACAAGCTTTTGGGGGGGGGTACGCTGCGCCCATGCCATGCTTCACGCACCGCCGCGTGCCCTAAATTTGATTTGTTTGTCGAGTAGATAAGAAATTCGAAACTTTCCAGTAGACCTACGAAGGTTTGACGTCGGATTCGGCGAGAAAGTCAATGGGATAAATCAATTCTGTAGACAATCCCCGTCTCTACTCGTGGGAACGCGGTCGAACACGCAACCGGTGCACGGGCTCTCCTCTCAGGGGGTCGATTGTGGCTACTCGTCTGGGCTTTTCGCTGGGTCGGTATGCTGTCTGCGTCGGCGTCGACAGGTCATTTCGCTTTCCGCTGTCTCAGGGCTTGCATTTTCTTGGAGGAGGAGGAGAATGAAGGAAGTAAGGAGGAGGAGAAGTAGGAGGAGGAGAAGGAGGAGAGGTCTTGGTGGTCCTTCGGGCCTCCTGGGGCGCGTTTCATGCCTCGGAGGAGCCTTCTGGAGACTCTTTGGTCTCTCGTGGGAGTCTCTTGGGGGCCTCCCTGGTGATGTTGGGCGCCTCCCTGGTGATGCTGGGCGGCCCTTTGGGCTCTCTTGGGGCCATTTTGGAGGAGAGTGATCAGAGAAGGGGGGGAATCTGTTTAGGAGCTCCAAGATGTCTTCTTGGGACCATCTTGGGGCGCTCGTGGGCGTCTCTTAGGCGCCCTTGGAGCCGGCTTGAGGCTGTCTTGGGCCCCTCTTGGGCCCCTCTTGGGCCACCTTGGGGCCATCTTGAGGGCCAAGAGTCTCACCGGAAGCGAGAAGGCGAGAAGTTAAAACCCAGTGATCTGCCTTAGGATAGTTCAGGAATTTGGCCTCTTGGGGGTGCGTTGGGAGGCTCGAAGGACACTCGGAACCGTCTTGGGGCTGTCTTGGGCCGCCTTGGAGGCATGTCGGAGGCTATCTTGAACGATGTTGAGGCATCTTGGGCCATCTTGGAGGCCCTCTTGGGCTGTCTTGGATCCTCTTGGAGCCATCTGTGGCCATCTTGGGCCCTCTGACGGCCTCGCCTCCCCCCACCCCTTCCCAGGCCCAGGGCCTTGATCATCTGGCAACGCCGAGGTGTTCCTCTTTCGACCTGGCGGACCTCGCGCGCGGCAGGACGCGCATCTCGACTGGTGCAGTGGCTTTCGCCCCGGCCTCTGCGGCTTCACTCTCACGGGTCTGCGCTTCCGTGCGCGCCGTGCTCGCAATGCCATGCTGGCGAACGTGGCGTTGCCTCGCAGCTGCGGCGTCGCCCTCTTGGTGCGCGATCAGCTCAGTGGCGTACCTGGGGACCTCCACGTTGCGGCCACGCCCTGTTGCGACGTCCCGCCTCCCACCCCTGGACGACCACCCCAGGATTTCCCCTCCCACGCGCCGACGAGGTCGGCGGATTCTGGTGAGGATTCTGGAAGCCATGCATGGTGTCGAGCGTCCCACGCCGCGCTTCACCCGCATTCATGCTCGCCTCTTGGCGTCGGCTTGGTCGGGGCGGGGGCGGGGGGGACAAAGGTCGGGTGTTGCCAGACGTGGCCATGGCACAAGGTGACCCTTGTGTCCCCAGTGGGCGCAATTGGCTCCCGGAGCATCCCTAACCCGGCCTGAAAGTGCCCCAGGGGTCCCGACATGACGCGAACAGCTGAGCGAATTCTGGCCCAGGGCCACTTCTAGCAGCAACCGTCTCAAGAGGGGGAGCTGTCTGGTTATCTCTCTGCTCACGCAACGCTTCGTGCAAAGACTCCTTCGCCAGCGCAGCTCACAGCGCGCCCTGTCTCCTGCACGGCGCCGCTGCCGCTGCCGCGGACATGCTTCCGCTGCTGCCCGAGCTGCTCTGGATCCATCTCTGCAGACGAGCTTCGCTGTGGCTGCCCACCTGTATAGGGAACGGCGAACCATCGCTCCACTATTGGGACGCTGGTGCAGTAGCAGAGGAGACGAGCCCAGACCCCAGGCGTCGTGATTTTTTCAGAAAGTCGACCCTCAGAGGTCTCTGAGTCGCTGTTTGACGGTGCCGAGGGCCGGCAAGGGCCTCTAGAGGCCGAAACTTTGGAACAACTTCCCGTCATGATTTTTGTTCATTGTTCGAGGGGGTCTGGGAGCACCGCAGTGGCGAGCCCCGAGAGGACGGCAGTCCGCCGCCCGCGCTGCTGCTGCCGGTGCCGCCGCCGCGGCCCCGCCGCGCCGCCACTAGCGTGCGCCGCCTGCGCTCTGGCCGCCTCCACGGCAGGATACGGGCACGCACCTCTCCCGGTTCGGCACGTGCGTCGCCTGCGTGCGCAGGATCCTGCACGAGCAGGCCGGGGACCCCCCTTCCCCCCCCGCGTTCCCAGACACCCGGCGTCTCGACGCAATCGAGGCGGAGGTGTTCTGCATCGTGCTCCGCCTCTCGGGGCAGAGGTGGAGACCGTGTCTCGAACAAGCCGAGACGCTGGATGTCTAGGCTCCCCCGCCGACCCCGCGGCATGGGCGTCCCGCCCCGTGGGAGCATTCTGCGTACTCGGGGACGCGTGCGCCGCCGTGTCGCACAGGCAGCCCCCCCTCCCAGACCCCCTCGAGTCGTGAACAAAAATAACACGGCTGTGTTTGTTTTTTGTTACTGTCAGCCCCAGGGGGCCCCGACTGGGCCTATCGGGACCGTCCAAAAACCAATCCGGAGGAAACTCTGGTGCTGGGGAACGTGTCGAGACCTCTGGGGGTCGACGCCATGAGAAGATCATGACGTTGGGGGTCTGAGCCCAATGTGGTCCCGGCGGGCCTCAACAGGCCCCTCGAGCAGTCTGGGGCGGTCTGTCCAGCGTAGCGCCGCCTCTGGCGGCGCCCCTGGGGCGCTCCGCGTCCCTGGGTTGTCGGGGAAACGTAATACTCGAGTGAGCCAGAACTCGGGTTTGCAGACATTTTTCTGACGAGCGCGTCCTGGATTTTGACGGTCCAGTTTTCTTGGGATGTCTGCAGCGGGAGCTCGCGTCGACTTTCAGATTGGGGCTTGTCATTTTCATGGTGGCCCTGTCGGGCCAACCCATGTCTCCCGAATCCGAGTCTTGCGTCTCCCCGAGATTGGGGTGATGAAGTCGCCCTGGACTACTCGGGGAACTGATGAGGCCAGCCTGGTCGACCTTTGGGGGCTGTCTTGATTGTGCGCAGCCCGAAGCCTTTCCACTGCTTCGGATGCAGTGCCTGGGAGGTCCAGTTCTGAGTCCCAGGCCGCGGTTCTTGCATGAGCTTGCCTGTGACAGGTCGCGGTTCACTGGCGATCGTCTGATTCACGCGATTGGTCCAGTCACGCCGCGGTTCACCGAGCGTTTTCCGATACTCGCAAAGTGCCTATTCGCAAGCGTCTGGACAAAACGAGGTTTGTCTCAATGTAATGGGCGTGAGTTCCCCGCGGCGGATCCAGGCCATTTGCGAGTATTTACTTTGCGAGTAGTGGAACTCGCATGTCCAGTGCTGAGGTTCAGTGGTCGCACGCTCCTCGTCTTCTCTCCTTCTGGCTGGCAGGCAGAAAAAACGTACCCTCATCAGCCCACCGATGCAAAAGAGAGATGCCTTGATCAGGGACGAACAGCGGCATGCAGTGGCACGACGAGGGTTGCCAACCGCCCACATCCATGCCTTCTTCCGTACTATGATAGGCGTCCCTTAGGGTCGCCGCGAAGGGCCTTGTATGGTCGACTGTTGAGTTTTCCGTGACGACGGAGAGGTGAGAATCCAATCTGCATACACGTGCAATTTTCAGAGGTCCGCGCGGATTGTTGGGATCTGCGTTGGGTAGTGTTGCGCTCTCCGTGCGCCAAAAAGGGGTCCAGCGCCGATCCACGAAATCCGCGCGAACCGCCGAAAGTCAAGTAAATGCATAGTTGTTGCTCTGAGCGGTGCGAAGAAACCAGATGTAAATCATAACATCCATTTGCTTCTCGGGGCCACCTGTCAACCATCTTGGAGCGTTCTGGGCGGCTTTGAGGGCTCTCTCTCTGGGCCCTCTTAAGAGCCCTGGGAGGCCTTCCGAGGCCATCTTGGACAGCATCGATCTCAAGAGTGGGGGACTTAAGATTAGGTCCTCTCCCAGAGTCCTCACAATCGCCTCCTGGGGTGCTCTCGGGGCGATCTTGGCGCGCTCTCGGACGCTCTCGGGGCCGCCTTAGAGCCCTTATGGATCCCTCCTGGGCGATTTTGGGGTCGTTCTGAGGTTCATGAGCCCATCGGAAGCGCAACTGCTTTGAACCAAAATATGTTCGTCAGGCTGTTGAGGGTTCATTGGGGACGCTCCGAGACCCCCCGTGGAGGCGTCCTGGAGGAAGCGGATAGCCTCTTGACGGCATGTTAGACGTTATCTTCAGCCATCCTGGGCTAGATCGAACCAGCTTGAAGGCAATCTTGTGCTATCTGGGGCCCTCTGGGAGCCAGATTGAGCCATCTTGGACGCTCTGACCGCTCGCCCCCCCTTCCAGACCCTGGGGAAGGGGCACCACACTATGGGGCGGGGTGCTCCTGCCCCCGAAGGGCAGGAAGAGGTTGGGAAGAGTGGACCCCCCAAACCACCTGCGCCCAGAGGGCCGGTGGGACTCCCTGGTAATTTCCTCGACGAGTGCGCATCTCCCCATTACTTCCTCCATATACCTCCCCGTCTACATCCCCAGACCCCCGACATCGTGATCCCTTCACAACGTCCACTCCCAGAGGTCTGGACCCGTTCGCCTGGACCGGTTTTTCATCCTCCGTGTTTTTTCACAGTCCCGAGGCCAGGCGAGGTCCTATGGTGGCCGAAAGTAGCGAGCAATCTCCCGTCGTGTTTTTATTCGCAACGCGAGGGGGTCTCTGGACCTCTCTTCGATTACTGCCATTCGGTCCTCTCCGGAACCGACGAGCCCAGACCCCCAGAACCCCCTCTGGAATCACGGCGTTTTTTTTTTAGTGTTTGTCTGTCATTTTCAGCCTCCAGGGGCCTTCGCCTGACGTCGGGCCTGTCCCTCTACAGGAGGAAGATCAACAAATAGTCTGGGGACGACTTTTATCTTTGGCTACTTTTTTTCACTTCGGGGGTATTTTTTACGTATCGCCCCGCAGATGCGGATAAGAGTGAGGTGGCGGTGGGGACGTCGGCAGTTTGCGAGACTCTGGAGAAGCCCGCCGCAGGCCCCAAAGCTTCACAAATTATACAACGAGCTCCGTAGCCATTTTGACTCAAGCCACTTGGCTCAAGCCTCGCCGCGGGCGCCCAGGCGCGCCGCCGCCGACGCGATGCCCCCCCGCCGCTGGCCGTTGGCGGTCGCACTGGGCGCGCGCGCGGCGGGGCTGCTGCTGTTGCTGGCGGCGCGCTCGCAAGGGAGGCCCGTGGAGGCGCTGCCGCCAGAGGCCGAGGCGAAGGCCGAGGTGGGCGGCGCGGCCTACCGGGTCCAGGCGCTCTCGCCGACCCTGGTGAGGGTCGAGCAGCGTGGCCCGCGGGGCTTCGAGGACAGGGCCACCTTTCTCGCCCAGGGCCGCGCGTGGCCTGGTACGCCCATCCGGAACCAGTCGGCCTCGAGCGCCGGCGCCCGCTTCTCCACCGACGGCTACAGCGTGGAGCTGGGAGCGCCGGCTGGCGGGGCGCGCGGCTGCGCCGTGGTGCTGCGGTCGAGCGCAGGAGAGGTGCTCTGGCGGTCGGGTGCCTTCGGCGAGACCCCCGCGGGCCTCCGGGGCCCCGCGCCCTCCGAGGTCTCGGGCAGGTCTGTGCTCGCCGTCCTGGACGCGCCGCGCTTCGTGCCGCGAGCGGGCGGGGCCACGCCGCCGGCGCAGCCGGTGCCGCGTGGGCTGCAGGGCACGTCGGGCTTCGACTTCGGGAACCACGCCCCCGACATCTACCTCTTCGTTGCCGCTGGCGGTTACGAGGCGATGCGCACGGAGTTTCTGCGCCTCAGCGGCTCCATCCCGGCGCTGCCGGCGTGGGCGTTCGGCCTGTGGTTCACCTGGTACCACCCGTACAGCCAGAAGGAGAAGACGGAGGAGATCCAGCGGTTCCTCGACGACGACCTGGGCCTCTCGGTCGTCTCGCTGGACAGGAACTGGCGCCAGGGCGCCTCCAACACCACGGTGGTGCTGCCCGACGAGGGCGAGTACATCGTGAACAGGGACTTGTTCCCCGACATGGACGGCTTCCTTGCCTGGGTGCACGACCAGGGCCTCAGGACCTTCTTCAACGACCACCCGAAGTACCTCGATTCTGGCGAGCAGGGTCCTGGCAGCGGCGCCCCCGAGGCTGTACTGGCGCCAGCCGAGGTGCAGTTCCGGTGGGACGGCCTCACGAGCCTGATGCACAGGGGCCTCGACTTCTGGTGGTTCGATTGCCACTGGCGCTGGTACCCGCCCGCGCTGAGCGTGCCCGGGGGGGGCTCGGTAGACGGCATCACGTGGGGGCAGGCGGTCTTCCAGGATATCACGGCCCGCTACATTCGAGAGAATCGGCCAGAGTACGATTCGACCCCCTTCAGCATGGGGTGTTCTGAATCGCACCACCCTGCCTCGCACAGATATCCTGTCTGGTGGACTGGCGACATCTTCAACACCAACCTCATGAGCTCTGTCGCAGACATGATACGTGCTGGGTACGAGGGCTTCAAACCTTACGTGCACCCGGACTGCGGCGGCCATCACGGACACAACGAGCCCGAGGTGTACGTGCGCTGGATCCAGTTCTGCAGCCTCGGGACCATCATGAGGGTGCACTCGGACCCGTGGAACGACAGGCGACCCTGGACGTACGGAGGGCAGGTGGAGGACATCTTCCGGAGCTTCGTCAAGCTGCGTTTGCGGTTGGTGCCAGAGCTTATGTCGGCCTCCGTGGAGGCCACCAGAGTCGGCGCCCCGCTGGTCACGCGTTTGGACGCCGAGTGGCCGCACCTGCCGGGCGCGGCTCGGATGGACCAGTACCTGCTTGCAGGCAGCATGCTGGTAGCGCCTATTGACCCCTTCCCAGGTGGCAGCCCTGACCGGAAGAGCGACTTCAACCGGTCGCGGTCGGTGTGGATACCACCCGGGGAGTGGACGGACGCGTTCAGCGGGGCGACAGTGCAGGGCCCCCGGGAGATTCGCCGAGCCGACGTGCCCCTGGACGAGCTGCCGCTGTACCACCGACGCGGCGCGCTGGTCGTCGCGGCGAGGGGCGCGGGCGGCGCCGCGGAGGCCGATTGGGCCGGCCTGGTGGTGCACTGCTGGCCCCCCGCGCCGGGCGCGGCGGCGGCGGCAAGGGAGTTCTCGCTCGGCGCGCGCGGCCCGCGCGCCACGCTGAGCGTGCGCGAGGCGCCCGCCGCGGCGGGGGCCTGCGCC